TGAGACAGGGCGGTACTCAAACTTCCAAAGGGCTATAACTTTGTTTCTTTAATTTTACCAAAAAAATGGTAAAGGAAAAAAACATTTCTTTTGATCAGATCTACTCACTGTTAAAATAAATGACTCAACTTCGAAGTCACCCTGTATATATATATATTATGACGTAAAGGAAGATGAGGAATTGGATGGAATGTATTTTATATTCTATTTTCTTGCAAAATACAGACAAATCCACACTATTCAACAGGTATGTAATGATATATTTCAGTGTATTGAAGTTGGTAAATTCGAGAGTGCCATGCATTAACAAACGTCCAAATCTACTGCCAAATTTAACAGCTAGAAAATCGACCTATTATTTGCCGCATTCCCATTCGCTCAGGGGGATAACGGATTGTTAAATGTAAACCTATAACATATATCAAAATACATGAAAGTTGTCCTGTTTTTTCTGTACAAAAGCATCATGTTGGAATCAAAAAGTGGTCTTGTTTATAATACAGTCGAATTTTCACGATTTTATTCAATATTTCAATGGAAATCACTGATATACAGAGACCTTTGACAGCTTCCGTCAAATTGCATTTCGATAAGGTATTTTCCCATTGGTCCATAATATTAATGTTGGTGAAATCGGCCCTTAGTGTTCTTTTTGAATTGAATTGAATAACAGATGATATAAATCAAAACCATGAACAATTTGATGCAAAAAGATATTTGTAACATACCCTCAAATTAGAGCGCTGACACGGAAAGTAGAAAACTATGAAAATCAAGGAGGCCATAAAGGCGTCCTACAATTATAGGAACGACTGACGATACGACCCTTAAGTAGGACTCACGCCTGTGAGGAGCAGTTCCCTATTTCTGTGAACCCTCATTGTTCGAAGTGATTATGATATTTTTTTTAACTTTGCTAGGGCTGTCTCAATCTTCGTTCAAAAATTAAGCATTATGCTTCTACCAGTAATTTTTGTTTGTGCCGGTTTAGGCGTTCTTATTTAACATTAGGGCTATACTTTAACCATTTAATTATCCATTGTTTAGGTAAATATTGAATTCGTCAAAAGCTATTAATTCATCAACTTATTTAGTAGAAAAAAAGAGAGAAACGTTTTGGATTTCTCATTGGTAACAGTCTATCTGGCGTTGAAGAATCCGTCAGAATTATGTGTCCTGTGCTGATATGGGAAATTTTGAGATATTACTAGATAATCAGCTGTCATTCTACCGTGATAGATACCCGCGAAATAGGGTATATCAACGTTTTTAGGTTATGACCGTCAACGCATCTCCCATTTTGCCATGTTGCCAATATATATATATATATATATATATATATATATATATATATATAGATATCAAATTTCTTTAATTTTATATTGTGGCATACCGTCCTAAATAACAGTATCTTACAACAGAAAAATGTGAAATCTAAAAACAATTTCACGGAAAAGAAAGACCTCGAGGTGAACCTCCAAAACCTACATTGGTTGAACCCGGCATAGATCGCGATTCGTGTTGGGACCGACAAGCTTATAGTTTTGTTTTCTGTAACCGGCAGGTTAATGGAATTGGAACGGAAGATATTTTGAAGGGATTTGTTTTAACAGAATTTCAACCCTTGAGATTCAATTGAGTGTTGCCATGCCGTCTTACATATGATCCGTCATAATAATTTTGACACCTCACAGCCAGACTATCTTAAGGCCAAATAAGTAGTTTTAGTTGGTAATTGCGTTTGACATATCTTTCTTGCATTGTATTGGATGCGACTTAACATGATTTATAAAGCTGTAACTTCCTTATTATTACAGAAAGGTGGGCGATGCAAGAAGCTAATGAAAATTCACAATATTATCATGAACTTAACATATAAAACTCATTTTGAACGAAAATGGACTTGACCTAGTCCGGCTCGGAGGTACAGATTTCTATTTCGAAATAATCATGGCAGTGTGGAAATTGCAGTAGCCATGTAGGACAGCAAAGCGAGGTCGAAATTAGTTTCAAGCGTCGACATTCAGTTATATCGCTTTCAAAAATTGGAGCCAGCGTTGGCGCCAACATGATGTGACATGCTATCATTCTGCGCCAACGTTGACCAACTTCGGTCAATGCGCATTGATTAAGCATCACACATTAGCGTTGGCCTACGCTGGTCGAATGCGACATTAACATCAGCCCCAGAAGATGACGTGCGGTACCAAAATGGAAGTAACTAACAGTCACTACTAACGCGATGTGTCTGTATTCGTGTGCGTGGATAACGTTATGTGCTAAGAGTTTTGGCACGAAATTCATTGGGTTTAATTTTAACAAACCCAAAATAATATCAAGTTGCCTTTGGAAACAAAAGTTTGTTTACGTACTTTACTGTCAGTTGACATTGATAGAGAGATTGGCGTGAAGAGCAAAAAAATCAGATTGGCATGTCAACAAGGAGACTGGCTCGTCAATACAGATCTTCTAAGAGAACGATATCGTTGGAATTGAGGAGGAATGGTCTTATAAAGGGGGGGTTCCTTAATGATATGCGAATATGGGTGTGAATCTACATGAAAAATTAATATTAGTTTGCTTTATAAACTATGGTCCAAAAATGTTTCCTTAAAAAAACTCGGGGTGTTGAAGTTTTAGGAAAAAAATGGAAATTAATTAATATTTTCAGAACTGCTTCAGATATTTCACTGATATTTAGTACGTAGTGAAAGTTAATAAAGCTGCATATTTTTCAATGCAAAAATAATTTTTAGCTTTAACAGTGGCGTGCGCACGGGTATTGACTTCGATATTTTTTAAGAAAAAAATGGTACGCCAATGGTTTTTTGCCAAATAAAAATTATTTTTGAATTCCCCGTTCAATTTAAAACAAATGATCTCTCTTGAGTTGTTTTCTTTCGATGTGCCATTTTTGAGTAAAAAAATAAAAACCGTTCTATTGTCTAACTTAATTATTTATTTAATTGGAAAAATTACACGTTAGGGGTAATGAACAACAACAACTAACAACATAAACATGACATCAAAACCAACGAAATCATTACAAAAATTGTTGAAAATGGCCCCCTTCACTTAGTATGCATGCTTCCGCCCTCCTTCTCATGGAATTGCGCACTCGTTGAAATATCCCTGGAGTGTTTATTATTCTATCACAAGCTGCAAGTATTCTTTCTTTTAATTCCTCTACAGTGTTAATGGGACTTGTGTAGACTAGTGTCTTAAGATAGCCCCACAAGCACGAATCTGAACTGTTGAGGTCTGGGGACCTTGGTGGCCATTCTTGGGGCCCACCCGTTACCACCGAGAGTACAAGGCGTGTGAATAATATATTATTGCAGCATATTTAATATACTCTACCAAATAATTCAGAAAAGTGTTTTTGGTATATGAAGGCAACTTGGTGGAAAATATTAAAGTAGTTATTAACTATTTTCACCCTGATTTTCACTGATATTTCATCTAACATTACGTGCACATTAGATTAATAAGTTGATGTTATAAAAGCTTGCTAAAAATGATAAATTCTTCAATGAATAACCCTATGTTAGTCACAACCGATCAACAAAATTTCACAGGAATATGTGGACAATTTACTATTATTAGAGGTATAATATAATGCTACTTGAGAGTTATATAAAAAATGTAGTGCTTGTAGAACAATTGTGTCCAGCAAGAACCAACGAGGAGGTCTGAGGTAAGCTCTTGCCAGGAAAGGAATAAGGAAGATGAGGAGGAAAAAGTGTAGGATAAATGATAAGAAAAACAGATAAAATCAAAGTAAAATAAACAACAGAAAAAACATAACAAAGATTAACGAAAACTTAATAAAAACTCTTAGAACAAACAAATAATAGCACAAAATAATAACAAAAATTAGAAAACAGAAAACAAGTATCTACAGCTATGTAAATGCTGCGGCCTCATGTGAATGTAGTCAGTTTACGGATGTGGATAAACAATGCTTGTTTTATTATCTGGGGAAAAATGTGCCATCGCTTTACTATTCAGTGCATTATTATCACTTACAACACAAAAAATTTTATAACCAAGTTCTTCTAATCTAATAATAAGTTTTTTTGTCATATTGTATAATATATTATAATCAATTTTAGAAACAGGACAGATTTGAACAACTTCTTTGAAATTCTAGTAGAAGCTTGAAATCATAAACACATAGGCTGTTGTAGCTAACGAAGTATTATTAATTGACGTTCCAACAATATTACCCCCTTTGAAATCTAAATATGGTTGAATGTGTATTTCATCCATCAATACAATCATGTACTCCTCACCAGGTTTTACAAATCTGAAAAGGTTTTTTGCATAGCCTAAAAAGTTATAGATCTCATCGGGAACTGGATCGACCATCAATATATATATATCAGTATATATATTGACTTCAGAGTATTTTGGTGTGGTAAAATCTGTGCTCCATGGCTCCTAATAAATCTATATGAATGTGGACTGATTGTATACAACATAGAGCAAAAAACTATTGTTTCTGATGAGTAACTGTGTCTGTTCTTCCGACTAATAGCAAGCTTTAGTTGCTCACAAATAAATTGAATGACAGTGTGGGTCTCTTCATCGGTGAATAGTTCTGTGGTATTTAAAATATTGTAAGCATGGTTGATAGTGGCTCTGAACTGGTCTTTACCTGAATATACCCTCGAAGCATCTGCATTCTCAGAAAGAACATGCAGAACATCATCCAAGTGGTGTATATTAGATAATAAAAATGGAGTTTTAATATTGTTGAGTAACAATTCTTAGGAGTACATATACGTTTTTACATCGAGATCTTTATCAATAGTTACAGAGTGAGTTATGATGGGTGCTGGTTTATATTCTAAGTTAAACAAAGTAACTTTATCCTGAACAATTTTATGCCACCCATATGGACATTGCCATGAACTGAAAACTGAGAAAGTCTGAATAATTTTGAAAACAAGTTGATTTTTGATAGGAGGAATAATCATCAATGCTAGTATGCAGTGCTTTATGTAGTTGTTCTTGTTCCTTGTCCCTCAATTTCTCATCTCGGCTTCTTCTGCTTGATATGTCCTTTGAAAGGTATTTTGGACAATTTGCAAAGATACTTGGAATTACATCTGCCTTTAATTTTGGATACTTAAGGGGTACAGTAATGGACCTACCTGTCTTTTCGTCATGGAAGGTGGATTCCCAAATGATGCTGTCCTCAGCAAAGTGCAAATTACATACTCGGGTGTATTTTGTAACCACTAAATCACTACGAGGGATTGCATTGAGCCATCTTTTACGACAGTTTTCGTTCAATGGAAACGAAAATACGTGTACATTCGGACCCTTCCCGTAATTACCGACACAATTAGTAACGCTGCACTTGTAAGGCATTTTGAAAACTTAGCTAAACAATCGCGAGCCACAAATATAAGTTTAAAACATCAATAATTTTCCGTTGACATAGCATTGAAAGATGAGGCTCAGAATGTGAGGTTAGTTGGCAAGGTTGCCACATCTTCCAATTTTGAATGGAATATTAGACTTCACAAGTGACAGATTGAACGTAATATCGAAAATGTATTCTTGACATACTGAGGCAGATCAGAAAGAATAATCACATCATCACTGAAGCTGCGCAGGCCCCGAATACATCTTGCAAATTCACCCATAGAGAGGTACAACTAATTAGTAGAGATTTCGATACTGCTATATCAAACGTACACAATCGATTTGTAAATAATTACGAACCGCTACACTGAAATGCGCTGGTGCACCATCATGCATGTACCACATATTGTTTCTTATTACTAACGTAACATCAAGCAGCAACTGTTGTTGAAGAAATTTGAGGTAAGTCTGTCCGTCAAGTCATCCCGGCAAGAAGAAAATTGGTGTTGGAAATGAGTTTCGGTTACGGCATAGGAATTTTATTCTGCCCACAAATGATTATTGTCCGTGAACAGAATAATTTATTCAAATTGCGGATTTTGTGTAATTTTTTGAAGATACCACTGACAAAAGGTCACACGCCTTGGAAAATCAATGGGAAGTAATGCCTAAATAACTAATAACTAAATTATACTGCCCCAGCGCATATTCTATTTTCATGAAAGCTTTGTCATTCGTTTCGACTTGTCAGAGTTGAGATCACTGACACTGACACCCCGCCATTTGCAGCAGCTGCGAGGAAGAAGTTGGGCGCACATGTCTGGTGTGTTATTGGTTCCATAACCCTTTCGTACTAGATATAAGGTTTAGGTTCAGGCTTATTTGACTCATTGATGACGGCTGCATGCATCTTTCAGATCAAGGTCGGTTTAAAAATCTGTTCAAGAACGCTAATCACAGCACCTCCGATTCAGGCTCTGCATTGGCGATTTCAGAATAAGAAAATAAATATAGTCAAATAAGCATAGTTTGGCAACGCTGCATCGGTTATCGTAGACGATCTGTCGTTTGGGGATGACTGCTAACAGGAAGCGACGGTATGGAAGGATTTCGTCGTCAGATATCCGCAAATGCAATCGGCACGTACCACCATAAGGGAGCGGAAGGAGGGCTTTGTGCCGGCACTCGCATAATAGGTTTCCGCCAACTTCCTGTGGAATCTGCTCAGCGATGGATAACCGCCAAACCGCCCGGATTTGAGGGCTTTTTTTCTCGATTATATACGGAGGGAAAATGAAAGGGCGGAATCATTCGACCTACTTATAACTTTGGAGGGATTGGACTCTTTTTACCTGGATACTGCCTTGGCAGCCTCTTTCGATCATCCCGGGAGGCTGATCACTTTTTGGTCAAAGTGTAAATGGAGATATTTTAGAGAGTCCTTGTTAAAAAAATGGAAAACGTTTCTATAAACACGGGTCCGGAAATGCAGAGTTTTCAAGGTGATAAATTAAAAAAAAAATTTATCTTAAAAAATATTTAATCGATTCTGTCGAAATGTAGCCTTAAATAGATTAAAATTATCAAGTTTAGTGGCGTCATGGGGGCCACCTTAGTGAATATTATTGTCAAAAAAATGCACGCCCCTGCCTTTTTTTGTAACTTTAATATTTGTTATTTCATTAAGCATCTAAAAATACATCTCCTTTACCCTTTGTATTTTTCCGTATCTCAAATGCTAAAAAAATCGCAAGTGCCTTGGAAAACAAAAAATCATTTCTGCATGAAGCTTTGACATTTGCTCGTTAGTTCTTCTATAGTCAACGCCAAACAAAGTGGCGTGCACGTCATCAAGGTGGGTGTGTTGAAAAATTTACATTGTTGCCAAACTTTTTGTAAAATAATAAAATTTATTATTTACATATCTAGGTTTATAAGCAATATTAACCTCAAATGAGAACAAAAATAATAGTATAATAAAATTATAGATCTGTACTTGCATAATCATTAAGTATGACAATTATTGATCAGATGACACTATGAAACTACCATATATAATTGATAGCTTAAAGGTACTGAATAAAAATCCAAATGGGGTCCTCCAAATTTTATGCATGGTATTTATTTTACAGAATTCATACAGAAAAATGCATTCTAAAATTAGGTAAGCTACTGGTGTAAGCTTTTTCTGTACAATAAAGTTAGTCGGAGTTTCTTTCTTCAGCGCTGTCTGAATCTGAATCTTCATCACTCTCAAAGTTGATTATTAAAGGTTCGATGTCTGGTCGATCAAAAATTCGTTCTCTTTCATACCATTTAAAAATTTCTTGCTCAGTATGTCGAACACTATTTTTCCACATGTCTGGGGTAACCGTTTGTAGAGCCTCGTTCCACATATCCAAACAGTCTTTTTCACTGTTACCATCTCTACCAATATGTCTGTTATAGTAACCTTTTGCTATGCCCCAAATTAACTCAATAGGGTTAAATATACAATGGTAAGGAGGCAGACGAAGAACTTTGTGCCCATGTTGTTCCGCCAATTCATCAATCACGTATATTTTAGGTGGTTTGTTTCTAAAAAAGCAGTTATTTTAAGAATAGGAATAAACAAAAGAAATATAAACTGTCGACCAAAATATATATAATTAAGAAGCATTATGTACCGAACAACAATACTCAATAGCTCTGTTTTAAACATTGTGTTTAAAAATGGTATGTTTTGATTTGTCAACCAGTCTTGGATATTTTTTTTTGTCCATGCATTGTTGGGCACTTTGTTCAATATCATGCTGTGATAAGGGGCGTTATCCAGTATAATCATAGATGGACTCTCCAATTTTTCTAATAACTGATGTTGAAACCATTTCAAAAAATTGTCCTGGTTCATCTCTCCATGGTAATCGCTCAATTTTGTTTTCGAAGAAAATATCGCTTCACTACCCTCAATAAACCCATTTTCATTTCCAGCATGTAATATAATGTATCTAAAATATATTAGTTTTAAATTTTATAGTGCAAATTGTGTAAAAGTACATACCTTTTACCATCTGTTTTAATAGCTTTCACGCTTTTTTGGTTTCCATTTTGCCAAGAGCGACCTATGGTCCCATTTTGAAATATCCAAGTTTCATCGAGGAAGACAAACTGGTATAAGGCCTCAACCTTGGCTTGATTGTATTGCCTTAGAAATTCCACCCTTTTCAAAGCTATACTTGGTAGTTCCATGAGCCCTCGTCGCGGATTGTCCTTAAGCCACTTAAATCCAAGATCTCTAAGCAACCGCCTTAAAGACGTGGCACTACCATCAAGTAATGCCCTATCTCTTAATCGAGACCATAAAGTTTGTATCGTAACTTGTTCTTCTGAAACCATGTGTAATATGACATTATAATTTAGTTAACAAATTAATGCAAATTTCTGATAAGTTATTATAATAAGATCTTACTTTTGTGATACATATTATACGTATAGATCACTTCTCGAATGGCACTTGTATCCAATGTCGCTGTGTTGGTTACACGTTTAATATAACTCCGCTTTTTCTTGGGCGATTCTAAATTTGCATCACTTTTCACACCCTCGGAAATACGACTAACTGTCCTTAAACTAATTTTTAAAGCAGCAGCAACACGCTACAAAAAATGAAATAAAATTTCACTATTATTAATATACATTACATATAATTATTAGTAACCTACCTCTTGAACAGCATTTAAAGGCAACAAAGGCCCGTTGTTGTCCCTTTCTTGCTCAAAGTAGTGCATTAACGAGGCCACGAGTTCCTTACACCGACTATTTAACTGTTTGGGCATCTTTATATACCAAAATTGCCTTTATCTACTCGTAAAATGAATAATTTTGTTTTGAAACAAACAGTTGTTGATTTACAGTATGCGGGGCCAAAGGATTTATAAAGATTTGAAATGCCACAAATTGATTCAGTGTCAAAATTAATACAAATGTCAGTTCCCAGTTTAAATAAGTTTCAAGGTGACAATGTGTCAACGCTGCGAAATCGGTTTAGTGCGTTTACATGTCGATAAGTGATTGGAGCGTTTGCAAAACATTTTATTTCGCATAATGCGTCTAAATTTATCAGAAAGCAACTTATGTGATATTTTAATAACAATGTTTATATGACTATTAACCATAATAAGAGATTAATGACCATTTTACAATTTATATATCACATTAATATGAAACTGCAATAGAGCAATTGTTTGTGATAGAAACCTAGGCATTAGGTCGGGGAATTTTTATCGTGATGACGTGCACGCCACTTTGCTTGGCGTTGACGATAGAAAAGAATTATTAATGTAATTTTCTTTTGCGAAACTTCTCTAAAAAGTGTTTGTCTCGGTTTTTGTGGTGGACAATTACACTTTTGAGGAAACGGCAGACATACATGTAATGTGTGCACGTGCTTATAGTAACTGTTATTTCGTGATGTTTTTGACAATGACGTTGTTTAGGATGTTTTGTCATTCCCAACAATGATAGAGACCGTCCGAGGTCCCTAAGAATGTCTGAGTTTGACGAGCCAGTTTTTGAATTTGAATTGAAAATAAATTTGTGTGTAAAGTGAAAGAAAATGATCAGCAGAAAACTGTTCACAAGGGTGAGTAAAACACGCCCAAGGCTTCAGTATTCAGTCGTTTTCCCACGTGGTCTACATAAGCCAGCTTGACCAAGTTCTTTGTAAATATTTCATCCAATTCTGTGACATAGTCAACGATGCTCCCAAAAAGGAACTATCAGACCCCCAAACTGATCATGGGTTATTTCGGAAATTAGAAGTAAAGCTACACACATCACATTTTTGTGATATCGCGTTTTGGACACAACTCATGAATCATAGATGAATTTTGGATTGACCTCCTTCGTCAGTTACACCTCGACCTGAGTTCCTGTATGAAAAAACGGATACCAAATGAGCTGGAACAAGATTACTTGCTTAAAAACTTTAGAAAGGCATCGAAAATACATTTTCCTCCTTTATTCTGCATCCAGACATGCTGCACCAAGGTCATAGTGAGTCACCCTGTACACATCCATCGTCATCTGCTTTAAAAAAAATTGGACTCTTTCTTCGCTTAATCTCAATAAAAAAGACGTTTTACGGAGTCATTAATAAAATATACTTATCTAAATTAGATGAAAACTGCTAATCAAGTTATTT